CTGTCTGAGGTATAATAACTTTATTCACATTCTTTTAAAGTATAATGCCGGTTGTTTATCTAACACGCCGTTTGCATGAATGCAGGCGATGCTGAGAGGGGATGGGCTAAAGAAGTCGTATGCTCAGAAGCAGGAAGAGGTAAGGCGGGCCAATAAACGGGCGGCTGAGCCCGTTGACGTTCCTCAGTATCAAAGTATGATAATTGAACTTGAGACTAAAGTTGAGCTAATGTCACAGGAAGAATCCATCAAGCGGCTAATGGCTGCTCTTACTGAGGCTAACCAGAAGGCCACAAATCTTGAGGCGGCGCTACTTAGGCGAACCTCAAAACTCTGGAGGACGCCGACAAGGCGAGCACCACTCTCTGAGCAGACGTCAGCTGTTTGAAGAGTGAGATGGCTGCTTCCCAGGGCAACTTCGGAGTAATTCTGGAGGCTGAGAAAAGCCGCCTCATTGAGGATAATGAACAAGGTTGCGAAGATCGGATGAAGATGACATGGGACCTTGTGCATCAAGATGCTGATTATGGCGTCTGGGCCTGGGCCTTGGCCTACTAGTACGCAGATCTTGTTCTTTCTGCAAGGGCTTAAGGCAAGTCGGATCCTGAGTCGTTTGAGGAATGGGCAAACAAAGAGGCCTCAGATGGTGAGGAGCCAGCTCAAGCTGCAGGGGAGGGAGAGGAGGAAGAGCAACCGAAAGACAAAGCATTAATGAACTCTGCTCTACCTCCGCTTGGGAAGGATGTGCCGCCTCAGTAAGAATAACTTTCGTTATTTTTATTCAGCCTTTGGCCATCTGCATTTTCGGCCTGCGTGCCGAGTATCCCTGTTTAATTTCCCGGACGTCGATCCGGTCTAACAATCACTCTCCCAGCCTTTTGGTTGGGAATTATTTATGAAATTGCCGACTGAGTCGGTTTTGTCAAATCTGCTTCAATTTTTGCGACTTTTGATATGCATAGATTTTAGCTAAGTATTTAACTTGCTTTTATATGAAATTTTTTCACTATACCAGCTGTTTTTATACCGGCTATTTTAACCCCTAGACGGCTGTGCGCTTGGTTCCAAAAGTGAATTGATTGACTTGGAAATTTTTGATACTTTAAAGAGTATGATTGGTTTCCAAGTCAATCAATCACTATGGTGATTTCCCCAAACCAAGCGGACAGTTGACCATTAAGCAGGCGGGTAAGCTTTCAATATTATCCGGCCATTGACCTCATCAGATCAATCTAAAACGAACATTGCTTAGCTGCTAAGTTTTTGGACTTAGATTATATTTATTATTTGAGACTTTGTCGCCTGTATTGTCCCAAACCAAGCGGACAGTTGACCATTAAGCAGACGTTAAACGGTGTATCGAAATAAGGTTGTATCCAACCAAGATTGTAGCCGGTTACCGTTTGTTATAGAACAGGCGGTAACCTTTAGCTATATAGGTCTCATTAGATCAATTCAAACGGCTGCGATCTTATCTTATTCCAGACAGTCGGTATGGCCGTTTGTTATTTGAGTTTATAGAGCAATGTACCACCCGGATGGAAGATGTTCTCTACGACGAATTCACCCGGATGGGCATCACCGGATGTCTACTCATGTTGGAGCAGATGTTGGGTTTTTATAAGGTCGTCTGCATATTGCACTAAAGGTATTCCCATTAGGAGATGTATACAGTTAAAGCAATAAAAATCGTTGAAATTAAAAAGCAACTTTTTTATTGATAGGCTTTCTATATACAAAAAATTTACAAGTCTTAGATGTAGTACATTTTTAATTTATCTACATTCCAAGTTCTGGTTAGATGCCTGCAGTCTAGAGTTTCCAAGCATTAGGTGCCGCCTCTCACTTCTTCATAGATCCGGTAGGGGTCTTTCCAATTGGGAGTCAACTTTCCTTGCTCATTGGCCCTACTTGTTGCCTCTATTTTCCATAACACAAAGTCCCCTACTTTCAAGGGCCGCTTGTGTACTATTTTATTGTAGGCTCTTGTCATTCTTAGACGGTAAATCTCATGACTCAAGGCGTCATTGCCCTCCGCTCCGGGAGTGAGTCCAATGCTAGCCACATGGCCTCCTATTTTTAGCCTCTTCGTCATATAGCATGACTCGAAGAGTCGGCTTATAGTGTTCAATGGGCAAGACGGCTTCTGCGCCATATGCCATGAGAAATGGGGTTTCACCGATTGCCCCTTTTGCTGTTGTTCAGATGGCCAATAGGGCATGAGGCAACTCATCCGCCCATAAACTGCCAGCTCTTTCAATTTTCTTTTTAATACCGTCTGAGATTAGCTTGTTGAAGGCTTCAACCTGGCCGTTTGCTTAGGGACGGTTGACTGATTCAAAGCAATGAGAGATCCATTGGTCTCCTAACCAATTCTTGAGGGCAGGCATCTCAAACTGAGGGCCATTGTTAAAGACCACAGACATAGGTACCCCAAACCGGGTGATGACATTCTTCCAGATGAAGGAAATGACATCCTCTATCTTGACGCCTTTAACCGCCTCTGCCTCTACCCATTTGGTAGAGTAGTCAACGGCGACTAGAATATAACGCCGCCCGCCTGGTGCAGGCGTCTATGGACCCTGAATGTCTATGCCCCATTTGGCGAATGATATTGGGCTATGAATGGCCGTTAGATCAGTGGTCGGACGATGTATGAGTCTACCGAATCTTTGACACTTATCACACTTCTTTACCATTTCCATGGCGTCTGCCTCAAGAGTGGGCCAGAAGTAGCCTTGCCTCCTGGCCCTTTCGGCTAGAGACCTACCGCCTATGTGGGAGGCACAAAAGCCCAAGTGCAGGTCCTCCAAAATCTTTTGCCCCCTTTTGGGGTGATGCATTTCCAAAGAGGTTGGAAATAACCCTTCTTGAAAAGCTCTCCATTATGAAACTCAAAATTGGCCACCCGTTTTTTCATTGCAGCCATTTCTGGATATGCATCCGGCAAAGTGTCGTCTAGAAGATAGGCCTGGATGTCATCCATCCAGGTTGAGCTTTGGTCCAGGACTCCAATGGGATCTTCCTTAATACTTCGTTTTCCATTACTTCCCAAAAGACTGACCGAGGCGTATCACAGGAGGCGGATGATGCCAGCTTAGAGAGAGCATCCGCCTGATTGTTTTGTAACCTGAGCACCTGACTTAGATGAAATTCATCAAGTGTCCCAGCTTTAGATTTAACCGCCTTCAGATATTAGATCATAGCCAAATGGGTGGCCTTATAGTCACCATGGTATTGGCTAACGATCAGTTGTGAATCAGAGCAAGTGTCAATCTTTCTTGTCCCTACCACCTTGCACATGCGGATGCCGGCTATCAGGGCTTTATATTCCGCCTCATTATTTGAGGCCTGAAACTTGAACCGTAGTGCATATTCGTACTTGTCCCCTTCAGGGGACTAACATATAATCCCTGCACCACAGCCGTTCATAGTAGAGCTCCCGTCTACATATACTCTCCAAACTTGGTCAAGATTCTCCGGCTCAGCCGCCCTTTTCATTTCGACAATGAAGTCGGCAAACGCCTGACCCTTCACTGCCTTCCTCGGTTCGAAAGAGATTTCAAGTCTTTGTATTTCAATAGCCCATTTGAGCATCCTAACAGATGAATCCAAAATTTTCATTGGCCGCTTGAGGGGTTGGTCTGTGTAGACCACAACCGGATGAGCCAAGAAGTAAGGCTTCAACTTCTTGACTGCCATGAAAACTTTCAGGCCAAACTTTTCAACCATTGGGTACTGTAGTTCAGCATTTCAAAGAACATGGCTAATGAAATAGACTGGGAGATGGATGCCGTCTCTCTCACCAAGGAGAACAACATTGAGAGCTTGGTCTGAGACGGCTAAGTACCTGTAAAGCGCCTCTTTTGGAAGAGGGCTAACAAGCCTCGGCAAAGAGTGTAAGTGTTCTTTTAATTTCTGAAAGGCCGCCTCAGCATCATCCCCCCATTCAAACTTAGTGTTCTTTTTGATAGCTTGGAAAAATAGAGGCACTTGTCACTTGACTAGCTGAGGAATCTCCCCAATGCCGCCAGACAACCTGTTAACTTCTGGACTTCTTTGACACTTCGAGGTGACTTCATGTCAATGATCGCCTGTATCTTCTTTGGGTTGGCCTCTATCCCCCTTTGATCAATAAAAAAATCCGAGAAACTTCTCAGACTCAACACCAAAGACACACTTCTTGGGATTTAACATGACCTTGTGCCGCTTGAGTGTGGTGAAGGTTTCTCGGAGGTCAGCCAAATGATCCGTCTGTAGCTTGAATTTGAATATCATGTCATCAATATAAGCCTCTACATTCCTCCCAATTTGATTAATGAAGATTGTATTAATCATTCTTTGGAAAGTAGCATGCGCATTTTTCAAGCCAAACGGCTTCATAGTGTAGCAGAATAACCCCTGATTAGTGACGAATGTCTTCTTCTCTTGATTTTTTTTCACAAGGGTATCTGGTGAAAGCTTGAATAGGCGTCCGTAAAGGTCATCAAAGCATGTCCGGCTGTAGAGTCGACCAAACTGTCGATCTTTGGAAGTGGATAACTATCCTTCGGACATGCCTTGTTCAAGTCAGTGTAATCAACACACATGCGCCGGGTACCATTCGGCTTCTTTACGAGCACAACATTCTCAACCCAATCTGGGAAGTAACATTGCCGAATGAACCCGGCATCTAACATCTTTTTCACTTCGGCGGCTGCCGCTTGACTTCTTTCCTCGTCGTGGTTTCTTTTCTTTTGCCTAACCGGCTTCTTTTTGGGATCCATGGCGAGTTTGTGGACAGCTAGATCCGGGCTGATGCCTGGCATCTCTTCCACTTCAAAGGCAAAGATGTCTTTGAATTCCTTCAACAAATTGTGCAAGTCTACACCCAATTTAGCAAAAGCAACCGTCCCCACCTTAACAATACGCTCCGGACGTGTGTCATCTAGAGCAATATCAATGTGTTCACCAGCCGGTTGGGGACGGAGTTCGTCTGACCGTTCCCCGGTCAGTGATTGCTATTGTTTCTCTTTTTTCTTGACCACCAACTGGTCGGCCTTTCTCTTCTTGTCGGCTGCTGTTGGAGCAAGCTCGGCTTTCTTGACATTGTCAAGGTCTACTGGTTCCTCACCATGACCGGCTGCGGCCACCGTGGGCTTGACGTCTGAAAGGTACCACTCTCTAGCCGTCTTTTGATCCCCATTTAGGGAGCCAATAGACCCATCATCCTTCTCAAACTTTAGCAGCATGAGGGATGGAATAATGACGACCTTAGATGCATTCAAAGTCGGACGGCCCAATATTATATTATAGGCGGTAAGCTCTTCCAAAACCAAGAACTGGACTACCATGTGGCAACCTTCTCCTTTCTCCCCCAGCCAGATGGGTAGGTCAATCCGTCCAACTGGGTGCACAACCCTACCCCCAAAACCAACCAGGGGGTGAGACACCTTGTGCATACTACCGGGCTTGTACTTTGGCTTTGACAAGCACTTGTAGCTGATGAGGTCAGACGAGCTTCCGGTGTCAATGAGGATCCGGTCAACCTTCTGGTTGGCCACTTTGCACTCAATGACAATGGGGTCATCATTCGGTCGACGAACCTTGCCCCTGTCCTTTTCAGTGATGATGACCTCCGGAAAGGTGTCAGTAGACTCCTGGCCCTCATCCACTGAACTGACATCTAGCCGCCTGACATGGTCCTTGGTGCCCCTAATGGTTGGGCCACCTCCAACAAAGCCACCTGCTATTGTGTAGATCGGCTCTTGGTCAGTGTCCGAACTACTAGCAGGTTGCGCATTCTTTTTGGACGACTGCCCAGGGTTTGTTTTCAGGGTTACCTTGGACTTCATAATGTAAGACTTCAACACCCCCTTATCAGCCAGACGGTCCAACAGCCGCTTAAGACTATAGCAGTCGTTGGTGTCGTGGCCAATATCCTCATGGAAATGACAGTACTTATTTTGTTCCGACTTTTGGCGGAACCTTTCATAGCAATAGGCTTCTCTATGGTCACCCGATCCTTTATCTCCATGAGGATGGAGTAGCAGTCTTTGTTAAACTCGTACTTTGGGACGTACGGTTTAAACTATTTCTTTTTCGGCAAATCAGAGTCGTCAACCGCCCAAATCTCTTTTCTCTTCTTATTCTCTTCAGCTTTCTGACCCGTGCTACATAATTGCAAAAGAATTATCAGCGATAAATGCGCTTCAACAATGCATAGACCCGTGCTAAGCTTGCCGACTTTCATTTTTGTAAGACTTCTTGGAGTTTGACTGCTTACTGATGGAGCAAAGCTCGGTCGCCTGTATATAGGCTTCTGCCTCCATCAGCGCTTCCTGGAGGGTGGCAATCCTCTTTATGACGAGGTTAAACTTAAAAGTCGACCCATCCTTCAGACCCTTGAAGAAGTTTGTATAGGCCACTTCGTCAGACAGCCCTTGAATCTGGATTCTCACCAGATTGAACCGCCTAACGTATGACCGCAGCTATTCTCTGTCCCCCTATTGCGCTGCATCCAAGTTGAGACTTGTTTTCTTGGCAAGAATATTCATAGAGAATTTAAAAGCAAACAAGAACGCAAGCATCTTGAAGCTATTGATGCAGTCGGCTGGCAGATTGTCGAACCGTTGTTGGGCGATGCCTTTTAATGTAGCCGAGAAGCATAGGCACGTCATCCAACCCCTGAAAGTACATGAGGTTGGTGTAGGCCATGAGGTGGTCTTTAGGGTTGGTGGTACCATCATAAGTACCCATGACATTCTTAACCTTGGCCGGCTGTGCCGCCTCGATTATCTCCTTGGAGAACGTAGAAGGTTGTTCCCCAAGTTTAAGAAGACGGTGCTACCAGTCCAAAGGTTGGACGTTTTGTAACGCCTGACCCCCAAAGAGGGCCGAGTGCATGTAAGGTTGTCCATACGGCATGTAAGGCTGCTGAGGCATATACAGGGCTGAATGGATTATCTGAGGGCCAGTGTGTACGGACAGGCCGCCTGACTGACTCTCTCGTGTAGATTGAGAATACCTCATTGAGGTATTCTAGAAGCTGTCTAGGCAAATCGACATTGAAGCCGACTCAGACAGTTTCTGGTTTCTCTTTTGCTTGATTAGTAGCCGGGCATTAGAGTATGTCATCTTTGAGCCATCCGGCTAAACATGCCGGATGGCCTTCCTCTTCCCTGTCTCAGGGAATCGGATCTTGGTAAGATCAATTAAGGGTCGTTTCCCCTCCTTTGATGTAAGATGCGGAGTGGGCACTCAGTCCCTGACTTGCTTATTCTTCTCAGAGAGAGAAGGCTTATTGGCCGATTCACCCCTATTGGAGCCAATCGTCCCCTTGTTGATCATGTCCTTTATCTCCCCCTTAAAACTTGTCATGAATTTCATCAGTTCGTCTCGAGTAACTAGGGTTGTGCCTTCCACCGCCTGGTGGTGTCCATACGGTTGTTCGGATGACTTGCTTGGACCAGTTTGATCATCGCCCCGTTCTCTTCTCTCCTTGGGACGGGTGCGTCTCGTTCTAAATGACCCATCAGCGGCCACATACGTTTCGACTTCAAAGTCATCATCGCTGTCATGGTCTAAATAGACCTCAGCTTCGACTGTAGGCCGTTTCTCATTAGGAGGCGGTATAGGTTCTTGTGAAACCATCTTAGAGGTACTCTCCTCACATACGGCGCCAAATGTTTCGAGGTTTTTTTGTGTCCCTCGGGAGAGTTACGTCACTAAGTCTGGATTCCGGGCGCCTGTACTTGCAAAACAACGGAGACTCCGGTTGGGTGGAGTTCCGCCTCCGACGATCAAGTTAGAACGTGTTCGGAGAAAGTAAAAAGGTACGGAAAGTAAAATGCAATCTTCTTGGATTCCGAGATCAAGAGTCTTCTCTGTTTTCCAGAGAATTGATTACGGAGTAATTTTTTTAATCAATGTAATTAATGTATCTTGCTATTTATAGGGTCATTGGGATTTGTGCCTCCATCCTAGGTTACGGAAACCTAGGACTCATGGGTTGCGCCGTTTTGGGCAGCCTGGGGAATTTGATCAGGGAGGCTGTCTTTTTCCCACTGATTAGGTATGCCACGTGTCAGCCGAGGATAGGTTCATTTTGAACCTCTCTTAAGGTGACACGTGTCACCCTCTTATTGGGCCACGTGGCCTGGTATTTTTACCCAAATCAGTAAGGATAAGGTTACAATCGGGAAGATTGTCAAGGAGATGCTTTATGAGGATTGAAAAAATTATTTGCTTGATAATGAGGAGATACTTGAAAATGAAAACTAATGAGGGAAGAACAAATTTGGGAAAGAGGTAGATGAGAGGGAGCCATGGAAGCAAACGAAATGAATGATAATGATTAGGGAAATCAAGAACAACCGCTTGCGCGTGAAGTAGAGGTAAGGACAAATATGTATATCACTACCTAAGGATTGAGGGTGTAAGGGAAACTACATACGGATATAAAGATAGGGGGACATGATAGAGAGAGAGATATAAGGCAATAGAGGAAGGAAGAGGTTGGAAGCACTTCAAAAGACCATTCTTACACTATGTTTGGATAATAATGGTGAAGGGAAAAAGATGGGAAAGGGAAGTGAGGGAAAGGAGAAGGTGACCTTCCATTCCCCTTCTAAATCTCTCCAATAATGGAGGGATTTAGTTTATTAAAAGGGGAAAGAAAATAGATCCATCCAATTCCCTCCCCTTCCCTCCTTGCATAAGATATCCAAACAAATGATATGCATTGATCCCTCCTTTTCTCTCCTCTTCTTTTCTCCCCATTTCTCTTCCAAACATAGTGTTAATATTTAATTGTGGAAGCGCCTACAAAGTAAGGAATGGAGAGAGATTAGGATTATGAAAATGAAGAAAGAAAAAGGTCGAGGGGCTTCGACAAAAGAGAAAGGTATGAATATTTTAGAAGACCTTTTTTACAACGTAATCAAGGAGAAGATAAAGAGTATTTTAAAAAAAAATTCTATAATTTGTAAAACTATATAAGTCAATTGTTATAATGTAAAGGAAGATGGAAAGGGAGAGGAGAACAAGTGAGAAGAGGAGAGGGGTAATGAGAGCAAGTCTTAAAAAGCAAAAAAGTTAATGATTATTATAAGTTGCAAGATTAAGAGTTTGAAAATGAAGAAAGAAAATTAAAAGAGGGGTGTCATCAATTAGTCAAATAACAACAAATAAACATAAATATCAATATACATTTTTTTAATTATAAGTCAAGTGTTACAGTACTATAACAAGTATAGTACCCGTGCAATTGCACGGTATAATAAGTTCATATGTATAATTTACTTATCAAAATAAATTTAAATAATAACACATATAACTCCTAGCTATAAATATCATAGCATGATTTGACGTTGGTATTTACATAATTATTCTACTATTATTTTATCTATTAAATTATTTATAGACTTAAATTAAGGATGACTAGTGGGTATAAAAATATTAGTCCCACACCGCACTCGCCTTAGATGGAGCAGATATGGGTCCAACTTCGGCAGGTAAGTAGGCAGGTATGATTACATAAGTCATACCCACCGTAGGTAATGGGTAAGCGGTGGATTTGATGTCATTCCCATCTATTACATACCCGCCTACCCACTCAATTACCTGCTAACTTATTACTATCACTAATTTTTTTATGTAATTCTTTTTGTATTTGTAATGGCGAACGACTAATTTTTATACAAATAAATTGACTACTTATTACTTGTACAATATATTATTAAATTATACTATTATTATATCTATTAAATTATTTATAGACTTAAAATTAGGGATGACAAGTGGGTATAAAAATGTTAAAACCGCACCGCACCTACCCTAGATGGAGCGGATATAGGTCATACTAGTCTATAACCCGCCTACCCGCTCAATTACCTGCCAACTTATTACTATCACTAATTTTCTTATATAATTCTTTTTATATTTGTAATGATGAAGGACTACTTTTTATACAAATAAATTGACTACTTATTACTTGTATACTAAATATTATTAAATTATCTATTTACAGCAATTTAGATAGCATAATGACATGTTCTATAGGAATTATCAAACAAATGTAATATTATAAAACTTTATATGCTTTGTCTTTCATAATAATACTCATAGTAGTAATTCTAGAATTTTCAAAGTATATATGGAGAATACATTAGTCCAAATATATATGTATGATTTATTCTATATATGTGGTCAGCATATATATGTAGGTGAATAAATAATTATGTTGATATTGCTAAGGCAAAAAATCCACATCCAAGACCAAAATATCTACCCCTACCTAATATTTATGAGAATCTATGTATATCAAACTTAGTAATAATTCAATGAAATATTTTGCAATCTTTTGATAATTTTTTATTGCCAATAATCTTTTGTAATATTCTATTAACTATAATTTAAGGGGGGATTTTTCTGTATGGCTGGCCACACCGTGTGGCCGGGGTTACTCGAGTTACTCGGTCAGGGGTTACTCGAGCTACCGTGGTTACTCAACTTACTCGCTCAAGGGTTACTCGAGTTACTCGGTTAGGGGTTACTCGATTTGTCGTGGTTACTCAACTTACTCGGTCAAGGGTTACTCGAGTTCGTTGTTGGGGTTACTCAAGTTACTCGGTCAGGGTTTACTTGAGTTACTCCTGATCGAGATGTAACCCCATGACAAAGTAACCCCTTGATTAACCCTTAACCGAGTAACCCCTGACTAAATAATCCCTCAAGTAACCCCTAACCGAGTAACCCCTAATCGAATCCTCAAGCAACCCCTGATCGAACCCTCAAGTAACCCATGACTTAGTAAACCCCTGATCGAACTCATCAAGTAAATCCTGACCGAGTA